ATTTAGCGAACATTTATTGAGCATCTTCAACATGCCAGGGACTATGCTAGACCCTGGGAATATAGAAAGACAAGAAAAGAAACAGCATCTGTCCAAAAGGAGCTTATATTCTATTGGGGAAATACATGTACATAGATAAGTAAATACAAAGTCCATGCAAAGTAAGAGAAAATCATTTCAAAAGGGAGAAAGTACTAACAACTAGAGAGAGTCAGGAAAGAGTTCAAGCTGAAAGAAGTGGCAGTTGAGGTACTCTTCGATGCAGACCAGGGGTTCTGAGGGGCAGAGGAGAGTAGGGAGTATATTTAAGACATGAGACATCATTTGTGCAAAGGCAAAGAGGTAGGAAATGAAACTTTGTGTCCTGGGAAGAGCTAGCAAGCCAATTTTTCTTGAATTGTGAGTGTGTGAAGGGTAGTAATATGCAGTTAAATTGGAAAGATAAATGGTAGCAGTATTAATTGTGAGACTCAGGAGTTGTATTTTATCCTAGTGACAATAGAGGGGCACTGACAAGTTTTGAGTAGGGGAGTAGCAGTCAGAAATGTGTTATAGCAATATTAATTTGGCAGCTTTGTAGAAGATGGATTGGAGAGGGGAGACACTGAAAACAGCAAGACCAATTAGGCTGTTGCACTAATCCAAGAAATAGCTGATGAATACTTGAACTGGCGTGGTGGCTGTGTGAGTTATGAGAAAGGGACAAAGTTGAGAGATTTTTATGAAGGAAGAATTGACAAAATTTAGCAGGTGCTTTGATATGCAGGGGTGACACAGGGGAAGTAGTCAAGGAAGTCTTCAAGGTTGCAAACATTCATCGCTTAAAGAATCTTGGTGACATCAACAGAAATAGGGAAATTTGGAGAAGGAAGGGATTTGGGGGGACATATAATGAATTCCATTTTGAGTTTGAGATGCCTATGGGACATCTTGGTGTAGATGTCTAGAAGGTGATGTGGAATTGGAGTTCAGGAGAAAGATTTGGGATCCATAAATAGATTTGGGAGTTATCTGTGTAGAGATGATAATTAAACTCATGGAAGTTTATGTGATCTCCAAGGAAGACAGCTTGAATTGTAGCTCAGCTACTTGGCGGCCTCTATGGCCTTGGGCCTGTCACTTTATTCTCTCTAGCCATCTGTAAAACTGGGATAATAATTGATGTGAGACTCAAATGAAATAACAAATAACCTACAAAGTCCTATACAAGGGTAAGGTGGTATTTGTTATTATCTTCATGTTCTCCTTCTGTTGCAGCTTTCCAGATTCTGCATGCCCCAAGGTTCAGGAGACCCAAATTAGCTATCAGGCAACTCTGGGGAAGGGAACAAGCTTGCAGTGTGTAGTCCAGCTAAAAAGTCCACATGGAATCCAAAATACAGGACTCCATATCACTTCTTCTTCTTTTACCCTGGATAGCTTCTGCCATTTATAAATTTCGTTAGCTCCGTGGTTCCCATAACGTTTATATCCTCACTCTGAAGCACTAGGCATGTTCAGGATTGATTGAAGCATCCATTAAAATTGCTTCCGAAAAAATTAGCCTCTTGAGACTACCACCTTGGTGATTTATAATAAGAAAGGCACCTTGTATATGGTTAATTAAAATTTGCTCATTTATTCTGCTTTGCTTGAATAGGCAGCTGATTTGCTGTCTCAGATTGATGTTATTGCATCAGATGAACCCCCACCTCCTACCACCCATCCCAGTGTGATGCGTGCTGCTAGCCTTAGAGGCTTTTTCTTTGAGTCAGGAAAGAAACTATATTTTACTTTCCCAAAGTAAAAAGACTAAAGGAAGAGGGGCAAGGGTTACTGACAAAGAATGATAGCCTCCATGCCTGGAATCCTCTTCCTTCTCCTTCACTTCTTAGCTTCTTAGCTTTTCCTTCAAAATGCAAATCAACTCCTGCCTTCTACAGAAGGCCTTTCCTGGTATTCCCGGCATCTAGTGCCTTTCCTCTGAGAGTAGCTACCATGTAGCGTATACACACACACACACACACACACACACACACACACGCACACACACACATATTATGTACCTAGATAGTTTCATGTCTCTCCCATTAAAATGTGAGTCCTTGAGGGCAGAGATCGACTGACCAGTTGCAGATACCATGATTGATCATGGCTTAAAATGCAGCTCTTCACTTGAAATCAGCTGGTTGAGGGCCCTTGCTCTGAATTTTCTATCCTAATATGTAAGAAATATAGACAGAGGCAGTGGCAGAGCTGGGAATAGAAGATGGGAATTCCAGGTTCTTGCGAAACACGAAGCCTTACTTAACTTGTTCAGGATTTGTGTTAGTTTATCTCAGGCTGTCTGGTCATTTCAGGTTAGTGAAAAATCCAGTTTTTAAAATAGCATTCTGTTCCTTCTTCTGTTTGAGATAATCAAGGATCTGTGATTTTCTCAGTATAGGAATTCCCTGTAGTAGGTATAGCATAGTATGTTATGAAGTTACCTGGGGCTCAGAAAGATTGGGTGACTTAGCCACAGTCACACTAACCACCAAGTGTCAGAAATGGGATTTTAACTTAGGTCTTCTGACTTCAAGTTCAACACTCTATTTACTACATCTTTCCAACTCTCATAGAAGTTATTAGAAGCCTTTGCAAAAAATGCACGTGGTTCCTTTGCTATCTTTGGAATTTAATACTGTTATATCTTGAGTAGAGCATAAAATTAGATCTAATATAATTTCTTCAGCACCATTCAAGTCATCCTATAATGTATTGTTCCTTCTGTCACCATCACTTAAGGTCATACAAGTTAAAGGTGGAATGTTTGAGCAACTCAATTAGTCTCTCACGCCTTTAGAGTTCAAACAATAGATCAGTGGTTCCCAACCTCAAACAATTTCTCAGACTGCCATTTAAGAGTAGATGTGCTGTTAATATCTTTTAGTAAATTACAAATTCCATAAGAAATGATGAGCAGGTGGACTTCAGAAAAACCTGGAAAGACTTACATGAACTGCTGCTGAGTGAAATGAGCAGAACCAGGAGAACAGTATACACAGTAACAGCAACATTGTGTGATGACTGACTTTGATAGACTTAGCTTTTCTCAGCAATGCGAGGATCTAAGATAATTCCAAAAGACTCACGATGGAAAATGCTATCCACATCCAGAGTAAGAACTATGGAGTCTGAATGCAGATAGAAGCATACTATTTTTGTTGTTGTTTTTTCTTTCTCATGGTTTTCCCCTTTTGTTCTGATTCTTCTTTCACAACATGACTAATGTGGAAATATGTTTAATGTGATTGTACATGTGTAGCCTATATCAGATTGCATACTGTCTTGTGGAAGAGGAAGGGAAGGGAGGGAGGAAATTTTAGAATTCAAAATCTTATAAAAGTGATGTTGAAAATTAAAAATAAATAAACAATTTTAAAAGAACTGGAAGAGACCATGCTGGAAAAATAAATTACAAAATATAATTTGAAATTATGATTAGAAATTGCAGGTACAAAAAATTATGGTGAATTCAGTAACTTTTAAATTTGTATTTTATTAAATATAACAGCATCACATACATTGGAAAAATAGTAGTATATGTACAAGACATCATTCAGTCTACGGAAGGTATGTTTCATTATTTATTATACTGAGTCACTGGTGCATATTTTGTTAGTGTTAAATATGAAGATGGCAGTGAATTATACACATACAAAGTTGGGGATCCCATAGACTGAGAACCATTGCAATGGAATGAAAAGCCATGAATGATTCCCAATAATATTGCCTAACTGCAGCGCCAGTTAACAGCTGTCGAGTCACACAACTTTTCTTTTATTTATATTTCTCCATATTTACAATAAAGAAGGAGCGTCATAGTCTCAAAGCACCAGGAGCCACAGTATTACACAAAAACAGAGTAACATTAACATGCTAAAGAGTTACTTCTCATCAATGTTAAGGTTACCAAATGATAGATTCTAACCTATCCTTAGATTATGATTTAGTCTAACTAGAAGGAACCTTTCTTTCTACCAAGAGTTAGTGAATAAAACACTTTTCTTTCCTTAGTGAAATTAAACATATCCTATTTGCCTGCTTTTAAAATTAAGAACAGAAAACATAGAACTTTAATCACTAAATATAATACTATTGTACAATGGCTTTGGAGTTAAAGGACCTGGGTTCTATTCCTATTAGTCTGTGTGACCTTGGGCAAGTCACAACTTCTCCAGTCACAGTTTCTGCATTTGTAAAATTAGAGCTTTGGGCTAGATGTTCTAAGGTCCCTTTCAGCCCTAAATCCATAATTCTGTAAAAAAAAATTTTTTTTTTAATTAAGAAGCGTTTCTTAAGCATTATTCTGTTTCTAGGCTCTGTGCTAGGTGTTGGGATACAGATATAAAAATGATACATTACCTGCCTTCAAGCAGCTTACATTCTACAACCAAAATTCCAGCCCCATTCTACAATCAGAACTCCAATCCTTTAGTGTTCCACAAGGAAAGAGACCGAAAAAGAAGGTAGAGCAGAGAGGAATAAAGGAAGTGGAGAAAAGGAAAAAAAAGGAGGTAAAAGGAAGAGGAAGAGACAATAGTGCTTAAATGAGGTAAACTGTTTTTTAGTAACCTACAGCAATAGGTTTTAAGTTAATGCCATTTAACAATGACCTGTGAAGTACCAGTTAGTTAATTAACCACTATTCTTTGGGGCCTTTTATGTCTGGGAGGGCAGTTATGCCACTGGAGCTCAGCAGGGACCAGACTAAATCTAGTTCCAGAGATGGGATGAAATCAGCCTTCAGGACTGGCGTTTGTCCATTGGTCTGATGTTAATAACTCAGAGACAAACAGTGACAGCATAATATTGTGCTTTTGAATGCAAAGTAGTTGTCATTTCTTCTTGGGAAGAGTGAATCTCTTCTATTTATGAATTTGATGAAGATGAACTACTTGTCTTTAGCAAGCAGGCAAGCCAGGCAGAAACAGTCCTCTAAAGCCTTTCATTTGGGGGTTTCTGTATTTCTTCCACAGAGATTGAGACAGTGAAATTGGCACGTTCTGTCTTCAGCAAACTACACGAGATTTGCTGCAGTTGGGTGAAGGACTTCCCTCTCCGCAGAAGACCCCAATTGTATTATGAGACATCAATCCATGCCATCAAAAACATGCGCAGGAAAATGGAGGACAAACACGTCTGCATTCCTGATTTTAATATGCTCTTCAATCTAGAGGTAAAAAGGGCACATCCCAGGGGCCAGTGGGATAAAGAGAAGAGGATTTGCCTTACTGCCTTAAGCTCCTTTATTGAAAATGAGAGTTACCAATAGATTCTTAACAATGGACCATACGTCAAGTGGTAGAAGGTTACTTACATTAAAATATGAAGAATCATTTCTGTATGATGTAATCAGATGATTTTGTTATGGATAAATTCACATATATGTTATAAAAATCCATTTGGAAATATTATTATAGAAAGAGGAGAATAGGTTTTATTTGAGGAGCAAGCCAAAGCACTGGAGAGGCCTGAAATCTATTTCTGAGTGTCTCATTGACTTGTTACCCAATGTTGGTCAAATTTCCCAGGCCTGTGCTTCAGTTTGCTAAAAATGCCCTTGAAATTCTTTTTATTTATCATGTAAAATGTGGTGGGAATAAATGTAAAGATGCCTGTCTGTGAATGATTTTGGCTTCAGGAAGCTCTTTGGGTAGGTCCTGAGTAGTAGCACCTCTTGTTTGACCTAGATGGACTCCAGGCTAAATAGTAACAAATAGAGCTAGTAGGTGATACTTAGCATTTACCTATGCAGTTAAAGTTCATATGGAAGCCTCTCTTAGTCAGCTGGGAGCTACCTGGGATTAAAAAACCTGTGAGCAGCACCTGACACTGGGAAGGGCATTCAATAAGCATTTAAGTGCCTACTGTGTGCACTTAGATACAAAGACACTTAGGAATACACAAAGGCAGTGGGGATACAAAAAAGACAAAATAAAAAACAGTTCTCTCCCCTCCCCAACAGAAATTGCATTCTACTAGGGAGACGCAACATGTCAGCAGATTATTTACTCATAAATATAATAGCATTTGAGGAAGGAGAGAATTCCAGCAACTAGGAGGAATCAGAAAAAGCTTCTCATAGGACATTGCATTTAAAATGAGAAAGGAAGGAAAGAAGGAAGGGGGGGAAGGAAGAGAAGAAAAAGGAGGGAAGGAGGGGTGGGGATGAAGAAAGGAAAAAGGAGGGAAGGATAGAAGAAAAGAGACAGGGAAGGAAAGAGGGAGGGAAGGAAAAGAGGGAGAAGGAGAGAAAAAAGGAAGAAAAAAAGAGGAAGGAGATAGCCATTATTAAGCACCTACTATGTGCAAGGCACTGTGCTAAGTGCTTTATAAATACTATCTAATTTAAACATTTGATTTGAAGGAAACTAAGAATTGTAAATGATGAGTAGGTGGATGCATCCTAAGTGCATAGAATAACCAAATGGTGGTTGTAGGATTTATCTTTCTTTTTTAAAATTGTGAACTTAACAAACATGAACATTTTTAAAAAATACTTTTTATTGATATCTTGTTTTTGCATTACCTACATTTTCTAATGTATCCCGCTCCTCTCCCTCTTGATCTCTCTTTCCCTATAACAAAGAATATAAAGGTGGGGGAAGGGGACAGCTAAACAAAACTGACCACCACATTAGAAAAGTTTGACATATATACAGTGTTCCACACCCGTGGTCCTCTATTTCTGCAAAGATATAGAGGGGAGAAGGGGCCTTCTCATATACCTTCCTTACAGCCAAGCTTGGTCATTATCTTTTTAAACATTCAGTTTTGATTGTTTTGTTTTTACTCCTTTAATTTACATTTCTGCAATAACAGAGTACATTGTTTTCTTGGTTCTGCTTACTTGACTTTGCGTAAGTTTAATCAATCCATAAGTATATTTTAAGTACCTATTTGCCAGGCACTGTATTAGGCTCTGGGGACATAAATACAAAGAATGAGAAGATGCCTACTTGCAGTGAGCTTGCATTCTAATGAGAAAGACAAGTACATGTAAAATATATATACAACATAAATCCACAGTTTCTAAACACACATACAGAGAAGAGTTAAATGCAAGGCAGTTTGGAAATGAAGAATACTATCAGTTGGTGAGATCAGGAAAAGTTTCTTGCCGAAGATGGTGTGTGTATAAGTTCATATATATTTCATGTTTCATATTACTATTAATATTCATAATATTAATAATTTCCTTTTTTCAAAGAATGTACCTGTGACTTCATTGAGGTAGGGAGCTCTGGGATAAGGCACTACCTTTAAACCAAGGCAAATTCATACATACTTTCAACATATCAATTTATAATCTTAAAGAGTTGTGGGGCAGCTAGGTGACGCAGTGGATAGAGCACTGCCCTGGAGTCAGGAGGACCTGAGTTCAAATGTGGTCTCAGACACTTACTAGCTGTGTGGCCCTGGGCAAGTTGCTTAACCCTAGTTGTTTCAAAGAAAAAAAGTTGCATGGGGCACTGAGTGTTAAAGGGCTTGCCTGGAATCGCACCAGAGTGTGTGTGTATGTGTGTATACACAAGTATGTGTATCTGTGTATGTACATATGCATGTGTGTATATATACATACACACATATATACATACATATATACATACATACATATATACACACATACACGTATATATGTATACACACACACGTATGTCAGAGGGAGGATGTAAAAGCAAGTATTCCTGACTGTAAAACCAACTCCCTGTCTCCTGTGCCATTCTGTTTCTGCATCATTTCTTATATCATAATAATATTCCATTACATCCATGTAGCGTAATTTATCTTCATTAGTCATTCTGTTAGTCATTCCCCCAATCACGGGGCTTCTATTTTGTTTCCAATTCTTTGCTGTTAAAAAAAAATGCTGCTATAAAATATTTTGGTGCCTGTGGGACCTGTCATTGACTTACTTGGTATATGCTTACCAGTGGAATCTCTGGATCAAAGGGTAGGGATCTTTCAGTCACTTTTTTTGTGTAATTCAAAATTGCTTTCCAAAAGGGTCATACTGATTCATAGTCAAACCAACAGTGCACTAGTATGCCTGCCTTTCCACAATCCCTCCAACATTGACTATTCTCTTCTTTTGTTGTCTTTATCAATTTGTTGGGTATGAGCTTAAACCTCAGAGTTGTTTTGACTTGCATTTCTCTTATTATTAGTGATTGGGGAGCACTCTTTCATATGATTGTTAAGTTTGCTATCCTTTTGCGATCTGTTTGTTCACATCTTTTGACTAAGTGATTGAGGGACGGTTTTTAGTTTCATCTATTAAGCATGAACAATTCAGTATACAAAGAACAGAAGGCTGTTATTGAATATTCACATTGTGAACTTCTTTAAATGTAGTTCAATTTAGGGGCAGAGCCAAGATGGCAGAGTAGAGGCAGAGATTCACCTGAACTCTACCAAATTCTCCTCCAAACAACTTTAAAATAACACCTCAAATTGAATTCTGGAGAGGCAGAGCTAACAAAATGTAGGGATGAAATGATTTTTCAGCCCCAGACAACTTAAGCGGTCAGCAGCAAAGGTCTGTCACACTGGGGTGGTAGGGTGGCCTGGAATGTACAGCACACCTTGAAGGCAGCTGCATCAGTGGCAGCATCAGCTTTGGGAACTTTCAGCCCACAAACAGTAAGGGAGTTAGACAACTGGTCATAAAGAGATTACAGGGGACCCTTTGCTGGTGTTGGGTTCAGGACCCTGTTGCATTGTCTGTATGCAGTTCTGGATCACAGTTCCAGGGCCAAGAGGAGTATTAGTATTTGTGGCTACAGGGAAAAAAGTCCTTTTCTGGATAAAGACCAAAGCAGGGAGCCAAGATGGCAGAGTAAAAGCAATGACTTGTTTGAGCTCTCCCCCAAACCTCTCCAAATACCTGTAAAAAATGGCTCTAAACAAATTCTAGTCTAGCAGAACCCACAAAAAGACAGAGTGAAACAAATTTCCAGCCCAAGACAACCTGGATGGTTGATCAGAAAGGTATATCACTCCGGGTGGGGAGAGGAGTGCAGTTTGGCATGGGCGCGCAGGCAGCAGCAAACCTAGAGCAGGCCTCAGAGGACTGAATCGCAGGCAGCTGTGGTGGTTTCCAGACTTTTCAACCCACAAACACCAAAGACAACTTAGAAGGTCAGTGGGAAAAGTCTGTGTCTATGGTGGTGCAAGAGAAGCCCGGAGTCCCAGCTCCAGTCCCCGAGCATAGCCCCAGGGTGGGGGCTGCTTCTGGAGCTTCCAGCCCACAGACTGAGGGGGAATCAAGTGGCTGATAAGAGGGGGATTGTAGGGATCTCTTTGCTGGTGCGGGAATCTCTTGCTTTGCCCATGCTTGGATCTGGGTCAGTTCTGGGTGGTGGTCCTGGGGCAAGGAGGAGAGCTGGTGTGGTGGAGCTTGTAGTGGCTGTGGAGGATCCTCCTCAAAGTTCCAAGACAGAAAAGAGTGCTTGTGGTCACTCATAGACCAGAGCACAGGTCAGGAAAGGAGTAAACACCTCACCGTTGATCATAGCACCTTGGAAGAACTGAAAATTTTCAGGTCCCTAGAAAGATCTCTGAAAACAGCTGCACAAAACCCCTAAAGCTTGGGACAGTACATTCTCCACACTGGAAACAGACCCCTACCTTAACAAAGAGTTTATAACTCAAGTAATTGACTGGGATCATGAGCAAGCAGCGCAAAAAGAGTCAGACTATAGAATCTTACTTTGGTGACAAAGAAGATCAAAACACACAACCAGAAGAAGAAAACAAAGTCAAATCTCCTACATCCAAAGCCTCCAAGAAAAATATGAATTGGTCCCAGGCCATGGAAGAGCTCAAACAGGATTTTGAGAAACAAGGAAGAGAAGTAGAGGAAAAACTGAGAATGATGCAAGAAAATCATGAAAAACAAGTCAACAGCTTGCTAAAGGAGACCCAAAAATATACTGAAGAAAATAACACCTTAAAAAATAGCCTAACCCAAATGGCAAAAGAGGTCCAAAAAGCCAATGAGGAGAAGAATGCCCTAAAAAACAAAATTGGCCAAATGGAAAAGGAAGTCCAAAAGCTTACTGAAATGAGGGAAGGTGAAAGGGAATGAGTGAATCTTATTCTCATAGGATTTGATTTAAGGAGGGAATAACATACACAATTGGGTATGGAAATTTATCCCAAAATCTTGTGAAA